TGCCCCCCCACCAAGTCGAAGGCAAATATGCGCCTGCGTCACCACAAATATCTGTAATTCGTGCGACGCTGGCATAGGCAGAAACTCCCAAGGCCCCAGCACAAGCTGGGACAACGTGCAACTGCCGATCGCAGCCTGCATCGTGCAACAACAGTTGGCAATTACGAGCCCCGCCAAAACCCAGATGGGCAGCGCGGAAGGTTTAGAACTCTTGAAATCCTGACAAGCTGTTTCGTCGAGCCTTCGAAAAACCCCAAACCATCATGAGGCCGTCAAACTCTACGAACATGTTCGGAAACATCATGTTTAGGTTTTAGGGTCTCTGAAATTCCTGATCCTCTCAAGGCAAATTTCAGGTGGCTAACTATCAGACTGGTGCCCTAAAACGAGACCCATGTATGTATGCAGCCCGAATAGCCTCGTAATAGACTCATGTGAGCCGTAACTACCCAACTGGAGGCGTCGTTAGCTTTGCGAAAATCGTGAAGGTCTGATGCCGTTCATCAGTTTCCAAGAGTCTGGTCCTCTACTGCGCTCTGAGCAAAACCCTACCTTTAGATAGAGCCCGGCTCAAAGGGTTGTAGTCTGCAAGGTACCCAATGTCAGGATACATGCACTCCCTTCACGTGTTGAAACCCCTGTCCAGGATTATTGAAAATTCCGTCATCTCTTGGCGGTCCCTTAGACATGGGTCAAGGCAAGAATCTGCACATGGAAAAATTTTTTGGCGGTAGAACGATGTAAAACCATACAAGCTGTCGTGGAACTCCTAGTGTCCCCCTTGGTAAGCCCCATAAGAGTCCCCTATATAACCTCCTTCAAGGTCTTTAGGATACAGCTCATGTTCTTCGTATGGCTTTAAATGGTGCCTCAAATGCGGCTTGTCCAAGGGTACTTAGACGAGTAATCCCCCATATTTCCTGCTGGTTAGGGTTTAGGGTCTGGGGTTCCCAAAACCCAACTCTCCAACTTTGTCAAACACATACCCACCTTAGACTCACCCCTATTACGGGCATACTCTTTCGAATTTACTAGCCTACGGCACCTACACCCTAGATCCCTAAACTACTAAACCCTCAACCCCTCAACCCCCAAACCCTGAACTTTTAAACACCTAAACACTCAACCCTAGACCCTTAAACCCTCAACCCCTGAACCCTAAACGCCCTGCTCCCTGGCGCGAACAGCTCTCCCTCCCGTCGCCTCTGCAGGATCCTGCGCCGGGGAAGAAGCCTGTTTAGGGTTCAGGGCTTAGGGTTGAGGATTCAAGGTTTACGGCTTAGGGTTTCGGGCTTAGGGTTTAGGGTGAAGATGCGGCTTGAAGTTGTCTTACGGGTGCTGAAGGGGGAGTGGGAGAGTGAATATAGGGACTATTATAAGGCCTTTTATGGGTAGAAACAGGGATCATTAAAAGGGTCTTACTGGTGCTGCTTAAAGGATAGTGGGGGAGTGGATTTTTGGAACAATCTTGTAATCATCGCTATATATACTCCTATAACGATCCCTGTGTTCACTCCCCCCCAAGCACCAGTAAATTGTGGGCTGAAGTCCAAGGACTTAGACTTACATGTCAGGTTTTGTGGGGGCGCAAGGATTTGGGAGCTTGGGGGTTAGAGGTTGGATTCAATACTTTGCGGCTTTAGGGCAGAGGTTTTCGGGTTGCAGGATTGTCGGGGTGCTTGTGGGGCTTTAGGGCAGAGGGTTTCGGGTTGTAGGATTGTCGGCGTGTTCCGGGGCTTGGGGTTTACCATGCGGGCCTTTAAGTCCGAATAATCACATGGTAAATACTCAGCACCCCAAGATGTGGTTCCTTCAGGCTCCAGCATGTGAACCATGTAGGGTACGTGGATCCTTTGACAAGTTTGCCTATTGAGTGCCATCAATCAGCCTGCATATGCGTCAACACTGACATCTTGGCCGGAATTCGCAGTGCCTAGACTGAACGCATCTGTGCCTCTAGTTTCAAGGCAAAGGTAGTTGTCTGCTGACACTGTTTTTGTTTCTGCTTGCTCACCGGTCCTCACATTGTTTGGGGCATGCATGATGCTTGGCTGTGCATCGACCAAAGTCCCGGGCAAATTATAGGCTGTCTAGAACTTAGAATCCACAACAAAACTGCCGCCAAGGCTGGCGAACTCTGAGTAAGAGAGCGAACCAAGACAACAGAACGCTTACGCACTGCAACCCTGCCCTGAACCCTAAACCTTCATAACCTGGAAGTCCTACACTTTGATAATCTCAGCCAGGCACAAATGCAGCACTAAAAAGAAACCCCAATGCCTAGCGGGAATCTGATGCACCAATGACACCCCGAACCCTAAACCAAGTCTCCCTCGCCAGACGGAAGTCAGAGTTCAGAATTCGAGTGGCTTGGTGGCACAACTGTTGTTTCAGCGTTTCGGGTTCAAGGTGCCTTTCAAAATAACTAGAAGTGCTCGGGATCCGATGATGAACCCCCTGGATTTAGACTACTATCTGGCGTGCAAGTCCAATAGTCGATAATTATCTTCTACATACCACTGATGTCCTACCACTTCGGGCTCAAGTAGCTATGTTTCTTGATAGCTCGGCTTTCCACAGAAACCTGAACCCGACCAAACTCTACCGAGCTTAGGCCGTGTAAACCTAAAACTTGCAATCTCCAATGTCTAACCCCTACACTGCGTACAAACCTCCAAGCCCAAGCTGAAAACAGATTCCCACATCCAAAAACAAAAGCTGAGACTGCTGCCGAGGATGACATACGCACCATTAAAAAATGAAATACCCTGGGCTGCTTTCTTACCAAATAAACTAAACCCTAAACGCTTAACATGTACTGCGCGTCCATCACAACGGATTCTGTTAGGGTTTCGGCTACGTAGCAGGATAGACGATCGTCTGTCTTGCAGGCCTGTGCCTGATCGGTCCAATCATACTTGACGTGGCACCTTGGATGAAGGCGAGGCTTCAGAGGGAGTGAAGAGGGCTTTAAGGCTCAAAACCATCAAAAACACCATTTGTCCAGAAGATACGGTCAGCTCCCTGACACAAGTCTCCAGCTTCAAAACAAGGCTCCACGCGGGGGGTAGAATGTTGATTTCAAGGGTCCTGACGTCTTTTAGCATGTCGGGCTTAACACTTGCCCTTCCTGAAGGGTGAAATGGCTGATTGCTACCTTGAATTCGGCAAACATACGGGCATATCCAGAAGCACAACTTAATTTGCAGGAAACTGGAACATGTTGGACATTCGTGCCATTGGGAGTAGCCTTGTTGTGCATGTGCAATCCATACTGTCATGTTGGGGAGCTTTGAGTTACAACTCCCTAATCATTACCCCGAAGTGCTGAAACTTCGATCCCGAGCCCAAGACGGGGAGTCTCCGAAGAAATCCTGCACGGTTTAGGGCTTGGTGTTTAGGGTGCATGGGTTCAGGTTTGAAAGGCTTGGGGTTCAGGGTGTTAGGCTTCATGTGGCTTAGGGTTGACAGGACGTGGATTCCTGAATCTTGGGGTTGAGTAATGCGGACGTTCCAATTCTAGTTTATGCGGCAACATGGGGCATGGGGGTTGTGTCGGCATTCAAAATAAAATTGAGGTGCGTGACCCTGCTTCAGGTTTAGTGGGGTTGAGATAATGCGGGAATGGCGCTAGAACTCGAAGGGAATCCCTTGGCTGTCATGACGGCATCGTCTTGGCACGTTGAATGTCATAACAATTTGAGCATTAGATTGGGGTTTCTCAACAAATGGCCTCAGCAACACCTAAAATAGGGACCCTATATATTCCCCATATAATCCCTTTAAGGGTTTTTGAACTATGGCACATGAATCTCCATGAAAGGTCCGAGACACCCCCCTCCCCGTGCGACCCTGCTCAAGCTCTCCTGCATTCTGAAAAAACATGATATTTGAGTACTTGAGCCGAAGCAGGTATGTTGCGAGACTTTATTGCTGCCTATAGCAAGAATTCCTGTCGGAAACTGTGGGACATCACTTGATTCTAGGAATTATAAGAGGGAAATAGTAAAGAGTACCTCCCCAGCTATTACTAAGCATGAGTTCGATTTTCCTACCTATCCAAACCCGGTATAACGCCGCTTGTCGTCCTATACATCCCTATATCGGCCCCAACCTGCCGAGACTTGAAATCTCAGGACATGAAACCCTAAGCCTTAAATCCTAAACCCAAAACCTTAAATCCTAACCCCTCAGTCCAAAACCCTAAATCCTAAACCCTAACCCCGAAAGTCTGTGAGCTGCGACCTGGTTGTCTGGCATGGGCTCCGACTTTGCAGCAGACCTCAGCGCATCTTTTGGGCTCAGGATTTTGGGCTTAGGGTTTAAGGTTTAGAGTTTGGGGTTTAGTGATTTAGTTGGGTGGGGTCTACCATGGTAGGTTTGGGGGCCGCATAAGAATCAAATTATGGCTTTATGAAGAGTGTATAGGGGTTAGGGGTAGTAGAAATTGAAGAACAATTTCAAACCTACCCTGTTTAGGGTTCAGGGGGGTGTAAAGCTTAAGGTGTCTTTTTTATTGGACCTGCCTGAAAGCCTCAGTTACGGCAAGACACCATGCGGTGTAACGTTTAGGGCTTGGGATTTAAGACTTAGGGTGTTCGGGTTTCACGTTTAGGGTACAGTTGAGGGGTTTACGCTTTAGGAATTGCAAAGCGTTCCGCACGAGTGCAAGATTTTCACGGGCCGTGTGCTCAAGAGCGCTCTACGGGGTCCCATTTGGGCCGATACATTACGGCGCAGGAAGGAAAATGTGCAGATGCTCCTACATGATATGCACTACGTGGGTCTACCTACCTACTAAGCACTGAGATCTAGCACAGAACAGTCACCTTGGCTATACAAGTACTGCACAAATGGGCCAATTTCACACCCATCTTACTTACAAGTGACCTTCTGGGGAAAACAAGCTGCCAGAGCGACATGGGCGCTGGTATTCGCTCAGTCCTTCTTCATGACGTTGTAGACCCCGTCTCGATGAACGTTCACCTTTGAGAAGGTTATCAGGCTTCATCCTGGATCTCCTCGAGAGGATTTTGCGGAGTTTCACCTGGACCGGCCTCCCTCACCGTGGCCCTATTTTCGTCGACAGCCCTATTGGCCAGCGTGGGCTTCATGCTCTTGGTGAGGTAGTCGGCGAGCTGGAGGTGCGTAGGAACCCAGGAGAGTCTGTCACCATAGGGGTGGTATAGCTCATGAGTGAGCGTGTCCTCTTCCCGTAAAGACTGGCGAAGAGCCTCTAGCTCGATGGCTAGGCGTTTGTCGGCGACTTTTCTTGTCACGGGCGACAAAAGATGATCTGTCAGAGATCTGCAGTCTGACATCCATAAATGCAGCATCAATCTCCGACTGAGGTCGTCCCAGTGTCGTAGCGACGGGAGGCGACCCTGGAGTTCTAGCACTGCAGCTCTGATGCGATCTCCAGTTTCCACCGCGCCTTGGAGCGCGTAAGCTTCAGTCTGTAATGTAGCCCTGCACACTCGTTTGAGAGTTGCGCTGTTGTAACTTATTAAGTGCATCGGATGTTCAAGGGCGTAGGGGTCAGATGCGACACCGTGATCGGTTAAATAATGGAAGCGCCCTTGCTGCGATTTGAAGCCCTCTTCCGATGCCTATGCCCAGCTAGCATCTGAGAAGGTAACTAGGGCGAGGTTCTTCCACTCGAGCGCGTTGGCTTTATACGTGATGTCCTTGAGGGCAAGTTCCAAGACTAAGACCTTGTTTGCATCAACGAGGGTAGCTACGGTGGGCTTGGAGACTGCTGTCTGTAGCGCGTTCACTCTGTACGCTATATCCGGTCTGGCGGCTCGCGAAATCCACGCTAAAGAGCCAACGACGGAGCGGAGAGCCGTTCGCTGTTGCGGTGTAACCGGAGTGGAATGCTTGGCTCCCTGTGGGATGGTGATAGGTTTCACGGTCTTGGTGTTATCCCTTACATTCACGTGGATACCGCCGTCCTCTGATTGGAGGTACTCCCTTCCGCAGAAACGGAATGCGCCGCTCTCAATCTTGCCAATGATGAACGTGTCGAGGACCTTGTGGATCCTGGCCGTTCCTACTCCGCGACTCGCAAATAACAAATCATCTACATGTGCGCAGAGTAAGTAAGGCAACAAGTTCTCCGTCCTCGTTGAGAGCGTAATACAATGCTGAGAAGATCAGATCTACACGGAAGCCTGATTGCTTTGTCGTGTCCAGCAATCTAAGTAAGGTACAGGTTTCTACCCGCATCTATCGTGCCATAGACAGGCACTCGCGCGAGCATTCCGCCGGCCTCAGAGACCTCGGGGTCGGGCACCCCTTTTGGATATTTAGGTGCACGCAACAGGAGTAAGCGTTCTAGAGGCTTCCCCTGAAAATACGCGTTCGTAATATCCCCAGCATAGAGTCTGAGTCCGCAGGACGATGCCCAGCTACAAAGGAGGGCGATACTCTCGGGGTCTGCCGTCGGGCTATCCCCTCTAACGTCGTCCCCTTCATTGAGGTGTTCGAAGTTTCCGCATGCTACAAGACGAGCCTTGTATTTCGGGACATACGAGGGCGTGCCCTGTAAGTGTTCGTTCTTATCCGTTAAAATCCTGTGGGCAACAGCTGATGCCCCTGAGAAACGAGCTTCTGTACTCACTCTGGGGAACACGCTACGATCGCGTTACTGTGGCCATCGCCTCGTCGAGCGAGTGCTGTACGAGTACATCTTGGGAAAAGTACTCAATGACCTTCGCTTTCTTTCCCACTGTGGCCTCCAGGATCGGAACGGCGGACGTAACTCTAGCTCCACCCTGGGCGGACTTGGATTCGCCCATCTTACTTATTGGCTCGGGAAGATCCTGATCATCAGGGCTCGGCACGTCGTACTCGGTGACGTAAGCACGGTCGCCCTTCAGGAAATATGGGCCGGTTTTCGGCATTTCGTACTTGAGGCCTGGAATGGAAACTTCACGCGTGCCAAGACGTTGCGATCAAGGAGGCTAAGTTTCTCGACACCTGACATGGAGTATCCCGTAATCGTCCATCTTTCCCCCTGATAGGGTAGCGCAGTGTGCGCATGCTTGGGGTTGAAGACAAGTACGCGACCCTTGGTAATATGGGAGACGCCCTTAAGGATTCGGCCATCCAACTCCAATGTCTTCCCTACCATTGGGGTCCTGGATCCATAATCTTCCGCCTATGTATGGACCTAACGATGTATATAGTAAAGTTGCTACTGCCAGGCTGATTCCCGTGGTCAGTGCGCAGACCTGGAGTGGCGTCACATCCTACTGTGGTGGATGTCCACGTCGGGCTGGTATGGCCGCAGATCACTGCGTGATGCTTGAGGTAACCGTTGAGGTACTGGCTAAGCACGGGGTACAACGAAGTAACCTCGGTGATACCAGTAATGCCGCCACGCCTAAACAACCCAAACGACGTGTACACCGATTCGTCTCCACATGTCCCCCGTGAGATCAACGGTCTGAGACGATCCCTCCGGTAGAGGTACCCTTTATAAGATCTGAGTACACTCAAGCAAGTACTAACAGAATAATCTGCAGTGTCTATGAGGTACTGGAGGTAACATTCTAATTTCTCAGCCGGTTCCTCGGCAGGATCATGAGTGATCGCCGGCAAGTTTGCCGTGCGTTCTTGATGAGCTATGTAGGCCTTATTGCCACGATCTCTAACCTGCGATCTGCTCTTCCCTCGTTCTCGGGATTGTGGTGTTCTAGCAGCAGCGGGCGCCGGTGCCATAGCTGGCCTTGAAGGCGCGGCCATGTTTGGCGTAGGTGGAAGTGCGGCTGCAGGTGTAGCTCGGGGTCTGGCACCCTGTTCCCAGCGGACCCTGGTCAACGGGAGCGCCATCGGGGGACGAACTTGTCCAGGTATCGTTGCTGGGGTCTGGACAACGGATCGGGTAATACTGGTTGTCCCGCGAGCACACGTGAGCCGCTACATCTATTTCGTCCACGGGGCGGACATTGTGAGGGCTGACGAGGACGGGGAGTCCTTCGTTTAGCACCCACATCGAGTGTTCCGATTCCTTTCCGATCACTCTGGAGGTGGTACTCCATACTGTTCCTGACACACCGGGAACGTTGTCCCTTCGATAGACTACTAAGTCTCCGACTTGATAGTCGTGGACAACGCCAAGTGTAGGAAAGCCTCCTTGCCTCTGTGTTCTCGCGCGGTAGCGGGTCCAAAATGGACTGGTTTCGTCTGTCATGGCCTCTAGAGCACCCATGTCCTCTGCATCGTCTAGCATTGATCCAGGTCGGCGAGGCGCCTTACCAAGGACATGTCGGGCTGGACTGTATCCACGGTGTCGAGTGAGGTCGTTTTGACAGCTACGCATTCTGATAATGCTTCTTTAATCCCGTCCACTCCCTCTATCTGGGATTCTTGGGCCACACGGCGAAGAGTCGCCTTCAGGAGCCCACCGTGCCTCTCCACCTTCCCAAAGGTCTGTGGCGTTTTGAGCGGGGTGAAGTGGATCTGGACTCCTTGTTGGGCCATGTACTTGGCACATGCCCCCCTAAAGGGTGTGCCTCGATCGGCAATAAAGTTTTTCGGCATACCTGCCCAACTAAACCAGTGATCCTGTAAACCACGCAAGATTGCGTTGGAGGACGGCTGTCCTCCTCCCTCTACAAGCACGACTGCTTGCTGGAACGAGGTTCCCATATCAACCATGTTCAGGACAGAAGAGCGCTTGCCTGCGGCGTCCTTCACTTCCAAGATGTCTGCCCCTAAGGGTGTGGTTGAACTCCTGACGTTGCAGGGCAAGCAGGGGGTTAGCTACCGGATGATGCCGTGGGTTAGGTTTTGCATCTTCACACGTACGACATCTATGGAGTTTGGCAGCCCTAACAAATTCCGGAGGGGGCGTGCCCTGTCGCAGTACGGCCTCCAGAACGCGGCCCGGCAGATGGCCGAAGGCTTTGTGCAAATGGCGTATGGCCACTCGTGTCCGTTGAGGTAATAGCCGCCAGGATTGACGTCTTTCCTCTTCAGCTTTAGGAGCCCCTGGGAGGGCCATTTCCTCGAGGATAAGCTGCTCCCTCTCTTGCGGAGTAAACTTGCTGCATAGGGGTATCCCTCTCTAGAACTCCATCTGATAATGGATTAGAGGGTTCCTCTACAGGGATGAGTTCTTCGTCATGATCATCGTCTTGGATTTCTGCTGGATAGCATACCCTGGCAAAGCCGTCTAAATACACCATTGCGATCTGAGATGTTTCGCAAAATGGCCATAAGGTCTTCTCCATAGACGTCTTCATAACACTTTGGGGCAAAACCCCACGAACTCTCAGACCATACTAACAGCGAGTCCAAAACACTAGTAATCTCAGGACCTATCCCTGATATTTGCAAATCTCCCCTCAGATCAATATGAGTGCCCAGCTGGGGCTGATCCTTGGGAGTAATCACTACTGCAGTAAACCGCTCCATATCACCTATACACTGCAGTTTGAGAAGAATCTCTTGGCTAATTTCCTTTGTATGAGATGCACTAAACCCGGAGGGCCTTCTTCCGCATGATTGCGTAACCGCGCTCGAAGGTCGGCGGGGGCACTGACCTGCGGCAGATGCCAGAGATGCGGTGTATCGTCTAAAGTAGACTGCACAGCAACTGCTTGCAGGAACCGATCTTCCGCTACAACCTCGCGCAAACCCTGCAGCACTGTTTTCAGCTGTCTCCTAGATAATGGGTTGCGGCGGCTTGGTGGTCTCTTTGCGCAAGGGTGGTTCCTTGGGTTCCGGAGTCCCTTCTGGAGAAGGTGTGTAGGGCGTGTTAAGTAAAGGTGCAGTCGAAGGTGTTGCTGGAGCTGTAGTCGATTCTGAGTACGGTGGGAGCACCTCAGGAACCTCATCTTCCATCCACTAGCTCGTACTCCTCATCACTACCATACTCTGACCCCTCATCTCCATACCACCTGAGGATGTCCTGCCCATCATCCTGGGCCATGGCGCCTTCTCCTACACCTAGTCTTCCTGAAAGGCGTTCTGGACTAGTCCATCCCTGTTGTATGGGGGTAGAAGAATCCTGGATACCTTCCCCTTCGCCTACGTTGATGGCTCCAAAATGATTTTGGATAAGACCAGTCTCTGCTCCTCCTTCAACATTCTGCCAAGTAGCATGAGTACTGCTGGAGTTCTTCGTTGATATCAGCCACATACGAGTATGCTAGAGGAGGATCTAATTCTTCCGATTGAGAATCTGCTACTGCAACTCCCGACCCACGTGGTGCTTCTGGTCCGCAACCTTGATCAACTCCTGAAGCGTGTAGGCTTGAAACACAGAAAGCTCGTAGTGCTTGGGAAGGCCGTCGAGGCCGTCTTCAGGGAAGAAGTTTCTTGAAAAGATCTTGCCCTGGATCGAATTTTCTTTCTGGTTGAGGGACAGAGCGATGTCCTTGTTGGGCTTCCACAACCAGGCTTGAACGAAGAAACGTAGAAAAATCGTGGTGCTGACAATCGTGAACTCAAGAAGAAGTAGAGCCGCGGAGAAAGCAGCTCTAAAGCAGGGCCTTCAGCAGCCTATGGCG